CTTTGTGTCTATGGTGTATAATGATGTGATTGCGATGCTGTATTTCTGAGTGTTTTATGCTGTAAAACAGCAATTATGCTGAGTCAGGCTTGATTTTTGGTAATCTTTTCCTGTTAAATAAATAAATCAAATCAAATCAATCCAGAGGCTCTGAATCCATTTCATTAATTGTTTGTTGTTTGCTAATCATAAGCAGGTGAGGTGATGGTGGCTTACAGCACGTCTGTATTTAAGTGTGCGCGTCCTCGAGAACGTTGCGAGGGTGTGTGAGAGGAAACATGTCCCCCCAGGAGCAGGAGTGGGGTGCGTATTGGAGCTGGCATGTGGCACGCAGCAGAAGGTGTGGGTGAAAGATGCTGACAGCCAGTCGTCTCCATGTGCTCACTATCTCCTCTGGACTCGCTCCAGCCCGCGGTGTAACGGGGGGAATGGCAGCGATCTTCCTCATGTCTGTCTCCTGATTTAAAGAGGTTTTTTTCATGTTTTCACCCAGCTGTGGATTAAAGAATGGCCTCTCTAAACACATCCGAACCAACATCCAGCTCTGGAAATTAGACGTTTTATTTAATTTCACACTTGACTGATCAGTTGTTCTCCGATTGATGTGATGCTTTTGATTTTCTTTCTTTTATTTATTTTTTTTCCTTCCAAAGTGATTGAAATGCTAATTTGATTAGCCTGGTTTTAGCTAATGCTGCTTAGATCTGCAATAAATTCTTCTAGGCTGTGTTGGCACCAATAACAAGGATGCTTTCAAATTTTATGTTTCTTTATTTAAATTGCACATAAGGAAAGAGAAAAACCGAACCTCATCTTGCTGCTTCCTACAGATCAGACTATTTATCTATTCAGGAACCCTTGTTCAGGAAAAACACTTTAAAATCTCACAAGTGTTGGAAATGTGAGGTAAATAAATGTATTTGTAAAGTGTTATTGCTTCTCTGGCCTTAAAATCCTCAGACAACACTTCAAGTCCCTGTGGTGCTTTTACTTACCCTGAATGTGCTCTAATACAATTTCACACTACTTCACTGACCTGTATTGTGCTGCCTCGACCCGTGTAATTCCTCCCAGCAGGGCTCAGTATTATCACGATCCAGTACRCACCGATTCAAAATTATTCACCTTTCAAAAATTGTAACCTCAGTACTTTCTTTCTTTCTCTTTTTTTCGTCTCTGTTTTCTCTCCCGTAGCCCTCGGAACGGCAAAATGCGAGTTCTCAGCTTCAAGATGGGATTGGTGAGCCTATGCAACGCAGACGTCCAGGAAAAGTACAAATGTAAGTCCGGTGCTGATTGGCGTAGGTGAGCGACACTCCTCAGACGGCAGCGATCCGAAACAAAGCAGCCCTGATTGCTGGTATCACATAAAGACGTCCACTTAGTGAAATTGGGGAAGTGTCTCTGCTGCCATTATGTAGAAAGCTTTCTTTCCTCGTACAGAAGCACAAGAAACCTTAAGAGGATTGGCCACGTTCATGCACACGCTCTTTATTTAGCTCGGATAGGAACGAGAGCCGGCTCTTCCTTCGTCTTCATCGAGCGCCAGCGAGGGGCGGGTGATAATGTTCTTACACGTCTGAGTGGACAGGTGTTTGTGTGTCTGCTAACAAAACAGCTCAAACACACTTTTTTAATGAAACTTACAGAAAGTAATGATTGGATGAGCATCTGCAGCAGATTCAGTCAAATGAAGATGGCTGCCACAGATAATCAGTGACAGAAAAACGCCTACAGACCAGTTCGTTTTACAGATAACTGAGCTTAATTCTTTACGACGTAGCATCTGACAACCGGTGCTTTAGATGGAAAAACATAAGTGCATGTGCTCTGCTTAATGTCATATGAATATGGGACAGAAACATACAGAATATTTTTGTATAGATCTGAAGTTTTATTGCACAGAAAATGACAAAGACCAAAGCCACAAGTCAAATGCAGTGTCTTAGGGCGCATAGTAGGTAGTAATAGGTTACAGGCTGAGAGTGAGCACATTTTTATATATATTTTTTGTTTGTTTTTCTCAGCTTGTGTAGTTCATAGCTTTATATATTGGGACATATTGATGGAAAATCGCAGGCTGATGTAACACCTGTTACATTTCTAGAAAAACTCCCGTTAGAACACTGGGAAAAAGTCTCAATATCTTGAGGGGTGAAAATTAGAAGCAGTGGTGCTGCATACCAGTGTTTACCGGACCACTTAAAGCACTGTTCACAAGACATTTTCAGTGTGATATCCCGCCTTGTTGCAGGGGATGGATCATATTGTCAGTATTTGAACAAAACGGCTAACATTCTTGAGTATAAAGGCTGATTTATACTTTAATTCTCACGTCTTGTGTGACAAAAACTGTGCAACTTCTGTCTGTTATCTCCTGCTGACACCCCGTCAGAACTTTGTGGGTGTTTTTTAATGCAGAGCGTTGCGTCCTTCTGCTTGTCATGTTATTGAAAATGGTCAGTTTCCAGAAACTTAAATTAACACAATGGAACGTTAAAACAGACGTTCACGTCTTCTTTCCTTCATTGCTTTGAACAAGAAAACAACACGAGCCTCACTTCAGACGTCTGAGACATCATCGAGTGAGAAAAACAACTGTGGAGATTTGACATTTGTGAATGATCCGATCAACAAATGATAAGGACCTAGCTGCAGACAGCTTTAACCACAGCTTCTCTTTAACCACAGAGACGATCGCTCCTCCTTTGTTTTTTCATAAAACAGGCAGAGGGGTGGAGTACAGCAGCTCAGGAGGAGGGTTCCACTTGACAAAACACGTGGTACCACCCACGGCAGGATCACGTACATCCTTACATGATGACTCGTTCATAGCCAAACGGCTCTATTGAACTTATCTGTTTAGCTATGTGCTACGTTGGGAGCGCTGTGGGAGGGATTGTGATGATTCGTCTTCTAAGTTAGTAGAAACACATAAAAGATGTCTGAAATTACGTGGACTTAAAAACTAGCAATAAATCTCCTGATATGAAACGTGGAGCACAAGATGCATTTCTTCAATGAATGATAGGTCTTTAATTAGGTTAATTACAGGGGTTAGACAATGAAATGGAACCACCTGGTTTTAGACCTGAACATCTCTTTCAGACAGCTTCCTCTTGCGTCCACAGTTAATCCTGTTGGATGTGGTTGGTCCTTCTTGGTGGTATGCTGACATTACCCTGGATACTGTGGCTCTTGATACATCACAAAGACTTGCTGTCTTGGTCACAGATGCACCAGCAAGACGTGCACCAACAATTTGTCCTCTTTTGAACTCTGATATGTCATCCATAATATTGTGTGCATTGCAATATTTTGAACAAAACCGTACTTTTACCCTGCTAATTGAACCTTCACACTCTGCTCTTACTGGTGCAATGTGCAATTAATGAAGACTGGCCACCAGGCTGGTCCAATTTAGCCATGAAACCTCCCACACTAAAATGACAGGTGTTTCAGTTTCATTGTCTAACCCCTGTAGGTACTTAATTTGTAATATTTATTAAATCTCAGTGTACAGTTCTGGGTTAGTTTTTGGACAGTCGATGTTCTCGTTCCGCACATGGAGGTAAAATAAAAAGTGATTGTTTGAAATGATAATATTTGGACCTGGAACAGCTTGTAATTAGTTCAGGATATGTGACGATAATCACAAACTCCCTCCAGGATTAGTCATTCCTGGCTCTCGTTCTGTCCAGGGCTGAAAGATAATCAATTTTCATTTCAACCCGAATAATCAATAAAACGTCACCTGCTTTTGTCTGGACTCATGCATGCACGGGATTTTTCCTCATTAATTCCGTGTTTACCTGCAGAAATCATCACCAGAACATCTTCGAAAACAAACTGAAGCCTTTTAAAAGACAGATGGTTCTTATAATTAAATCAAAACGTGCCAAACCAGTTTTCCACTTTGCACGCTGCTTCTTTTTTTAAAAAAATATTGACTCAAATACAAAGAATATGTCTTAAAAAATAAATATAATCAGAACTCAGTTTTAAGGCTCAGCTCTGGAGGAGGCTGTTTGAAATGCAGGCGCTGGAGCCAAACCTTCTGATTGTGAGGAGGAAGAACTCCATAAACACGAGGATGTGAACGACGTCTGTGGTGACACTGTGCAGCAGACCCAACGCGCCTGTCAGCACTCATCTCTTTAGTGTCAAAAAGACTCCGAGCTCTGACTCAGAAGACCCGTTCGGAGCAGAAAAAGATGCCGTTTGTGCAGGTTTTTCATCGCCAAACGGACCGATCAGGTCACTGATGAAAATTTAAAGTATTTTTAATAATTTTTCTAAAGGGAGTTTTATTCTGATGAAATAGAATCGGTTTGATTTACTGTCAGAAATACGACAAAAATTCTAGATGAAGCAGGAAACAGAAAGTTCCTGAAATCAACAGATGTGTAGAGAAAGAGGCAAATATAAATATAACATACGTATATTTATTTACGTTGTATAATTTATGCTGCCACCTAATCAGATAATCTGCTGCATAACTGATGGATAACTCTGTGTGTGTGTGCGTGCGTGCGTGCGTGCGTGCGTGTGTGTGTGTGTGTGTGTGGTGCAGATTTGTTCCGTCAGGTCTCTGGTCCCGGAGGTTTGACGGACCAGCGTCACCTCAGCCTGCTGCTCCACGAAGCCATCCAGATCCCCCGGCAGCTGGGCGAGGTCGCTGCTTTCGGCGGCAGCAACGTCGAGCCGAGCGTTCGGAGCTGCTTCCGCGTGGTGAGGAAGACACGCGTGTTTCACACCTAAACACATCAACAGACGTGCTGCGGCTTCCAACACACTTTAAAAACCCAACAAACTTAAACAGGATAAACTTCTTGCAGCAGTGCAGGTCATTAGACATGAACCTTGCAGGACCTGTGCGTTTCTTGTTTAGGGTGGGTGATAAATTTTGGTATCGATCCTGTACCAAACATGGCTAGTATCGCCAATTCTGATACTTATCATGTTTGTTAAATAAATGTGATTTTTACTTTTAGTTAGTCGATTATAATAAAACACTAGAAAGATTTTAAATAAAAATTCTTTGTATTAACTACAACAAAATAAAACGATTTAACAGTATAAAAATAATTTCACTATTATGTTCTACTACACACAGTTATTTAAGAAAAACCTCGTGCAAAATAACAAAAAAGTAACAAATATAAGTAACCATGTCAAGAATACAATTAAAAAATAACTTCATTGCACGCAGACACAATGTAGAGAACTAATGACTAACTCCAAGCAGTTTGGAGACTCTGCACTGAATTTATTTTTCACTTTATTTGTGAAAAATAAAACCAGTTTTGCAAAAGAATCCATCTCATCTCTCTAGTATCGATCCAATACTTGGATCAAGTTGGCCCACCTTTATTTTGGAGGACTGCGTGGAGTTGGACCCTCTTGTGCAGCTGTTACAGATTGCGCTCCTCCTGGATGCAGGGTGGGAAGCTGGGCCCATTCCTTCTGTAGAGCAACGATGAGGGCAGGCACTGATGATGGACAGGAACGTTACAGTCTTGGGTTCTGTGGGTCAGTCAAGTTCTTTACCACCAAACACAGACAAGAAATATTCGTTTTGTTTTTGTTAATGAACATAGTGTTGAGGAACACAGAAAGCTGAACTCAGACGTGCGAAAGCCCGACCAATACAATAAGTATTAATTAGGGTGAACGATAGCCATGTGATGTGAGTATCAGTCACCTGGAGGCAGGACTTAAAAGCCTGAATTTTGCCTGAAACGCTCAGACTGAAGAAGTCTCTTGGAAGAGAGACGAAACGTTTCATTAAAGAAGAACCCGTCCAGAGGACCTATACAATTTTTTTTCCTTTTGAAAGCCCGACCAGTTTCTGACTTTTACCTGGACCTGGTCTGATGGAGGTATACTGTATGATTGGAAGTGAATTATTCAGAAGTTCACAAATACCAGTGATGGTCACAGCAGAATGAGCCGCTAAATGAAATGTTAGCTCTGCTGTTAGTGGATTTGCCAACTCTGGAAACCAACATGTTCTCACTCCCGACTCGTCAACATATTGACGTCAGGCACCATCTGCTCAGTTTTGGACGCGTCGGGCACTCCTCCACCTCCATCTCATCTTGTTAACTGATGCCAGGGCTGTACTCGACGCGTCCAAAGCTAGACGCAGACAGCTACCTGATCAAGCGTCAATATGTGACGAGTTGGGAGTGAGAATGAGTTGTGGAAAGCGTTAGCTTCTACTCAGTTTAGTTCTGATAAGTTTAAGTCAAAAACAACTATCCCCTCACACACGCAGTGCTGCACGACTGCTTCAGAATCTCCATCTTCTTCAGCTTATCTGTAGCCGGGTCGCTGAGGCAACAGGTCCAGGAGAGAAACCCAGACATCCCTCTCTCCGGCAACACTTTCAAGTTCATCCTGGAGGACCGCAAGGCATTCCCAAGGCCAGAGAGGATACATAATCCCTCCAGCGAGTCCTGGAGTCTTCCCCGGGAGACCCCGGGGAAGACCCAGAGAGGCCCCGGGGAAGGATGCCTCTGGTTAGGTAGGATGCCTCCTGGACGCCTCTCTTTAGAGGCATCCAGGAGGCATCCTAACCAGATGCCCGAACCACCTCAACTGACTCCTTTCGGGCTCAGCCTTAGAGACAGGGTGAGGAGGAGCGGCCACCCTACGAAGGAAGCTCATTTCGGCCGCTGGTGTCTGGGATCTCATTCTTTCAGTCATGATCCACTCATGACCACAGGTGAGGGTTGGAACCAAGACAGACCAGTGAATCGAGAGCTCTGCCTTTCGTTTCAGCTCTTTCTTCACCACGACTGACCGAAGCAACGTCCTCATTACTGAGGACGAGGCCCCAATCCGTCGATCCCTCTCCCGCTCCATCCTACCACCCAGACACTTAAACTCCTCCACTTGAGGCAGAGACTCTCCCCCGACCCGGAGAGGGCACCCCCCCCCCCCTTCTCCTTCTCACCTCATCCATGTTTTCTCTGCCAGAATTTTCAAAAAGCATCAGATAAACTGAAATAAACGTGGTCAAATTTCAAATCACTGCCGGTTTGTTTTATTGAATAACCTCTGACCTCTACCCACAATGCCGTGCGCACAGAAAACTACATAATGTTCAACTGGCTGCTCAGTTTCCAACAAGAATAAAAAGTTAATGTGGGAATTACAGGTTTTTTTTCAAACTTTTCCTGATATAAGCTGCATTTTTTTTTTCAATAACTGCATATTAATTAGGCTGTGTTTTTTTCCTTGTGTTGATCACAACATCCCATCTGTCGTGTTTTGTTTTGGAATCTCGTGACGTGATCGGCATACAGCTTACAGCTCCTTCCAGGTGTTTGGTGTGCGAGGAGCTGTTATCTGACCTCCCACAGGGAGCCACGCTGCCGTCTCTTATCCTCCGGAGACTCCACATCTCCGCGCGCCTCGCAGTCTGCCATCGACACACACTCGTTCACACACATTTATCATGTTCCTCTGCTTGAGCAGCGAGGTGGCGGTGGTGGGGGGGGAGCCCCGGGGAAATCAACTTCTTAATGCATCTCTGATGCAGACTTAATGAGAATTTAGCACATCGCGAATTCTTAGCGCCTGACGAGTAATTCCTTTATTAGGTTCACTTCCTTTTTATTCCCCGACTTTATGGAATTTTCAACAAGAGGTTGCTAAAAGAGACAGAACATGAAATAATGCATGAACACTGACATTAATTTAAATCTGTTGCCTTTTTAGCTTCATACCTACTTTAGCAGATGCATTAAAGAAAACCCAGAGGTATCCTTTAATGGTCTACATTTAGCCTCACTCTAATTTGTGTCTCATATTTTTAGTAATATCTGAAACAAAGGAATCAGTCCTTAGCTTTTCTTGTTGTTGGTTTGTTTACAGTCTTTTTCCTTCCTCCAACTTTTCTCTGCCAGGCTCCGGGGAAGCCTGCCATCGAGGTGTCCCACTTCCTGGAATGGACGAGTCTGGAACCCCAGTCGATGGTCTGGCTGCCCGTCCTCCACCGAGTGGCTGCTGCCGAGTCCACCAAGCATCAGGCCAAGTGCTACGTCTGCAAACAATGTCCCATCAAAGGCTTCAGGTGGGCACGGCTGTGTGGTGAGGGGCTGCGAAAACAAACAAAAGAGGATTTAAAAATCACGACTCGGGATTTCAGCAACATAAATGTGACTTTTCCTTCATCGAATTGTGCAAAATATTATCAGTGTTCAACAGGATGAGGGGGAAATAATAAAAATTAGAGATGCTTGATGCTGAAAGGGTTCCTGTAGAAAAAGAAAGATTAGCTGAAAGAGGACATTTGCTGAATCAAGCCGTACGAAGCTGAAATTATCACTTATAGTTGCTAAAAATGCTAAAATTAGCTGAAATAACAAAAAAATAGCTTAAATAGTAGGAAACAGCTGAAAGATGCATAAAAGCTTAAAATAGCAGAAAGAAGCTGAGAAACGCAAAAAGTTTAAATCAGCAGATTAGCTGAAAGAGCAGAAAGATTAAAGTTTAAAAAGCTAAAATTAACAAAAAAAAGAAGCTGAAATTAGCACAAAGTAAAAAAAAAAAACAGAACAAAAGATGAAAAGTGCACTACAGTTTATGAAGAATTTTATAAATTTTGAAGACAGCACCATGCATTTTAAATAAAAAAAATGTCAGAAAAGGCTAAATATCTCAAAAAGCATAAATTGCTGGAATAACGAAGGTCATAGCCATAATGTGCTGAAGGAGCTGAACAGTTTGATGTTTAAAGTTTTGAAATGGCACAAAAACTGCAGAACAAGATTTGTGATAAAAAAAAAAGTACACAAAAAATGTATGATTTCAATTGTGTGAATGTTTAAGGAATGGATAAMAGATTATTCATCTTGTAATCAAAGTGTTTCAAAAAAACTGAACGAAATGATTTTTACATGCAATATGAACATAAATAAGGATTTTTTTGAAACAATCTAAAAATAAAAGCTGGTATAACATCACAACACTTGCTCTGTGATTATCATGTGTTCATATTTAGAAATAAAGAATCGCCTGTGGAACAATTAACAAAATAAATCTTGCGTTTTATGTTTTCATTACCTGCTGTTCACCTGACAGAGCGCTGCTTTCAGAGCTAATGGTGCTGATATACGTACTCTGGATTTTAATAAGACACACTTCAGTGTTTGTTGTAAATTAATTTATTCATCCTGAGTTATGTTGGAACATTTCTCATCTGCATAAAGGCAGATGAAGAACAAGCGTGTTATTCAGACACGTTTATCAAACGTATGTAGGGAAGTTCATTTCTACAACACATCCTGTGTAAAATTCACTGCACAATTATTACACAAATATTTTTATCTGATGTTTCATAATCGATTTAAATTAATAACAATCAATTCAAGTTAAAGGACAATTTGATTGTAAATGAAAAAACTCTTAATATTATATTAAAACTTAAAATGCATTGTTCCCTATTATCTAAACAATGGTGTCAAAACATTTTATAGGTTGTAAAGAACTGAAAATGGTCGTTTGTTGAGGCAATTTTTTCTGAAATTAAAAGCTTTTTTAAATTAAATATATCTGAACAGGTCAAGTTACATTTTAACACAGGCTCAGTTGAACACTGATCATGAGTTTCTCTCCTTSTAYGCCTACATYAACYAATGAGATGRTGSATTGTGATGCATGAAGGTACAGCGGGTAAAATAAGTATTGAACACGTCACCATTTTTCTCAGTAAATATAT